AACAAAGTAACAATATATATTCTTTAGCCATGTCCGTCCGTCTGTCCGTCTGTTGAAATCACGCTACAGTCTAAACGAATTAAGATAGGAAGCTAAAATTTTGCACAGATCTCTCTTTTGTCTGCAGGCAGGTCAAGTTCGAAGATGGGCTATATCGGTCCACGATATCGTATAGCCCCCATATAACGGTACCCCCGATATTCGGTATTTTGATGATGTTAGCCACATTTTTCAATGGAATTGTCTGAAAATCCACAAAAGGAGTTCCTTGTGAGTACTTTATACCTCGACAGAGAATTATCTATATAGGTCCACAATATCGTACTTCCCCCATATAACGGTACCCCCCGATATTCGTATTTTGATTATTTTACCCACATTTTTCAACGGAATTGTCTGAAAATCCACACAAGGAGTTCCTTGTGAGTACTTTACACGCAGACATAGATTTGTCTTTATAGGTCCACAATATCGTATATCCCCCCATATAACGGTACTCCCCTATATTCGGTATTTTGATGATTTTAGCCACTTTTTCCAATGGAATTATCTGAAAATCCATACAAGGTGTTCCTTGTGAGTACTTTACACGCAGACATAGATTTGTCTTTATAGGAAGGTGCCGATATTAGATATTTTAAAGATTTTAAAAGAATTTTTATTGGATTTTATTTTTTTGAAAATTTTCTAATTTGTTCCAAATGGTGGAGGGTATTCAAAGTTCGGCCCGGCCGAACTTACTGCTTTTTTACTTGTTAATTTTTGAGTTTTGCCTTGTTAAGGTGAACATCATATGTTTATGATTTATGTGTTTATTTTTCTTTCGATGATCTGAAATTTGCAGTGAAAAGGAAACCCAGATAGACACTATCACACACTCACCACTATGCGACTACTTTTTCTGGAAAGTAGTATTTTGATTTGCCTTTATTTTTTTCTCTCACTAAAATTTTATTCATGACCTCACCTTTCCCCTTACAATTTAAACGTTTTTGAAACACTGTTTGCAATAATTTTTTAATTACTGACCTCTGTACGATGTTTCACAAATAAACGAAACATTTTTTTTTTTTTTTTTTTTTTTTTTTGCCGAGAACAAAACCAATCATAAGACGACAACAAGCAACGACATTATTTTGTCTACTAATGTAGCATCTGCAATAGCAGCTATTTCTTCTTCACTTCATTGCAACGCCAACAACAAAAATAGAAATAGTTGCAGCAACAGCAATTGAAACATGCAATTTTTGTCGAAGTTGGAATTTTTTGTGACAAAGCACTTTTTCATTACCAAGGAATGGGAAGTCTTGAAAGTTGTATACTTTCTTCGCTCACTGCCATTCTGTGGGCAAAACTAAATGATTGTTTGATACATTCGAAGCCATTAATTGCTGCTGTTTGATATTTTTGGAGGAAAACAATTGAAGTGGAAATTGATTTCAGTGCATGTGACATGTTTGCCAAAACTGCTATTGAAAATATATTTTCTAGCTTGGAAATAAGGGGCAATGATTGAAGCGAAATCGAAAAATTAAGGCAACTCGTTGATAAAAATATATATCGCATTGACCGATGGATCCCATGATCTATTGATCAATGCAAGTCAATACAGAAATTTTGCCAAATTTCAGGGGTCTACCTTCTGTAATGTAAAAAAGCAAAATTCCATTTTATTTCACAAAAAATGGAACAGTCACGTACTTTTCGATCTACTCCGTTAGATTCCTGGAATATGAAGTCGACTTAAGTGGAAATGTTAAAGAACAATATGAATGAATTGATTTTATTCAAACCATCACATCATTTAGCAGGGATAACAAATAAAAAAGAGAAAAGTGTTAGGGGCCATATAAGCAAGCGTTGAAGAATATAACACCTATTACAAATATAAAACCTATTTCGAATTCCAATTAATTAAATTAAAAATTTATAGAAAATCTGACTAAATTATCAAACTACGGAATATCACAAAAGGCAATACTCTGGCGGAGGCATAATAACTACGAAAAGGAAACTGCCAAGGTAGATCTAACAGGTAACCACATCGTCGAATTGCTACAACAAAGCAACTTTTGTGGTACCCTCAAATGTCAAAATTGGCATCTAAGGCGAAAAATATATATTCGCCATGACATTTAAAGTTTGCGGCAAATTTGTTTCAACCAATCAGAAACGAGATGATAGTTTACATTTTATGTTGTGTGTGGAAATTAAGCCAACTCTCGGGGTCCATTGCAAAAGTCCCAAATTGATAGTTAGCCCTCGAAATGTTTATACAAGCCCACAACTGTAATATTTTCTACGTCTGGGCCGCCTGGAAATGTCCACGATAAATTACATATTAAGGCCAATGCTGGACATAATCTCAATTTGAATAAAATTGCACCACATGGTATGGATTCACCCGCCAACATCTCCAGCGACATTGCCCAAAATGTATCGCATGTTAACAGTGTACATATGCAGCAGCAGTAACAACCATTCTCGAACTGTTCCATGCAAAAACAGGGCACCAACACTCCAATGCATGTGGCCATACATACACCACATTTTCAACAGCAGAACATGAATATCAGTAATCAAAATCTTAATAATTTTATTAAATTAATAATAATTTTTACTTTTAGTGAAGAAGTCATAAACAAGATTTGTTTTTGTGTTGCATTCATTTAGGGCGAATTCAGCATTACAACAACTTGTTTTGACATTTAAAGGTGCCGTCAGCTGGGCTGATGCGACTACCTTGTAGATCTACCTTGGAAACTGCAAATATTTTGGTGTACCGTTATATGGGGGCGCTGTGATATCGTGGAACAGTGTGGCGCATTTTGCGCGCTTAAAAGTCTTAGATTTCTACCACAAGTCGTTTGGACACTAGCTTGATGTCAACAAAAAGACAGACATAGCTAAATGAACGTAAATGTTTATGGTTGAAAAAACTGCAACCAACTTCAGACTGCTGTCATTTCTAAGCCAGCTTATTATATTGTTTACAAGCGTACAAAAGCATTTTGGTGAGAATTTTCAAAAAAAAAAAAAAAAAACAAGCTGTAAGTTCGACCGGGCCGAACTTTTAATACCCTCCACCATTTGGTACAAATTTGGCAATCTCAAAAAAAAAATAAAATCCGTTAAAAATTCTGTTAAAATCTTAAAAATACTTTTGTCATAGGTTATTACAATATTTAAATGCGAAACTTGAAGAAAAATCTGTTTATAATGTAGCTACAATCATCAAAATACTGAATATGGGCGTACCGTTATATGGGGGCTATACGAAGACGTGAACCTGCACAGACAATTTTCTGGCATGGGCTGAAGTATCCATTATGAACTTCACATGCGAAATTTGAAACAATTCCGGTAAATAATGTCGCTAAAATCATAAAAATACCAAATATCGGGAAGTAGCGTTATATGGGGGCTATATGATAAATTGGACCTACATGGCCCATTTACGAACTTAACCTGTCTACTGGCAAAATATACATGTGTGCAAAATTTTAGCCTTCTATCTCAATTTGTTCGAAAGATAGCGTGATTACAACAGACAGACAGACGGACAGACAGACACACAGACAGACAGACGGACATGTCTAAATCGTCTTAGAATTTTACGCTGATCGAGAATATATATACTTTGTTGGGTCTGACATGAGTACTTCGAGGAGTTAGAAACGGAATGACAAAATTAATATACCCTCCATAGTATGGTGGAGGGTATAAAAAATGTTATTCGTGATGGAATTCAAGCGTGATTCAAGCAATTAAATCTGAATAAATCTTTTGTGTCTCATACTATCGCTCGTTACCGTGATACTGGTAGCGTAGCCCGACGTCAAGGAAGTGGATGGAAGAAAGCAGCAATGTCAGCAGGAATGGTTCGAAAATGAAGAAGCGACTTGATCGATACCCGCGCCGCAGTGACCTAAAATGGATTGTGAGCTGAACATATCGCAATATTCCAAATATCGGCCTCGGGATAAAGCCATTGAAATTCCAAAAAGTGCAAGAACTCAAAAGAGCTAAAGAGTTGTTTGAAAGTGGTGAAATGTCCAGCAGATTGTAAACAAACAATATGATCGTATTTGCTTGCCAAAGAGGTGAACTGAGAATTTACACCTTCGGTTGGCCACTAGAACAGCCGATGTTCGCTCTCCGCTCGTATGAATCGACCGCGGCATCATAATAAATGCCGAATATTATTGCGAAAATATTCTGGAGGGTGTTTTAAAGCCTTGGACACGCAAACATTTTGGCCGCGTACCTTGGACATTTCAACAAGACTCAGCACCATAGCAGTCAGCACGCGCCACCCAAGAATCGTTACAAAATGAGTTTCCATGCTTCATTTCCAGCGCACAATGGCCACCAAAATCTTTGGATATCAATCCGTTGGACTATTGTGTCTAGAGTATTTTGGAAAGCAAGATTGGCACTAAAAAATACCAAACTGTCGATCGTCTCAAGCAAGAGCTTCGCCGGGAATGGGCCAAAATACCGCAGAGCAACATTCGGGCAGGGAATGACGTAATTTTTCGTATATATTTGCGAGCTCTGCAAAACACCCATTCTGTTAGACCCTGCGTCCTACTCGGAATCTTTACCACGGTTATGTCACCGAATGTTGTTTTATGGTCGAAGTAGATGTCTAGTACCCACATCTACCTAACTTTTCTCTATGTCAATTTTAGTTCACTTCAATTGAATAACAACATCGAAAGGGTTGAATTGTATTCAAACCCCAAACTTGTTTTATATCGCCTTATAGATATGTGGATTGTAATGTGGGCACTTCCGCTTTTCCAATTATATTCAATTACCCTTTCTGATACATAGTTAGATTATTTATAATATACCAGAATTTAAACCCATTAAATGAATTAATCTCTATTTTAATATATCTATTTTTTCCGGACTTTGCAGTATGTAATCGAATGGTCAAACATATCATCAAAGCAACTTAACCAACGAACAATGTGATTTCCTCCCCACCGACTATGTTGCCCGACAAACAATATCTCCTAGCACGCGATATTGTATTGGCACAACATCAAATTCAACGAATTCAATCCCACAACAGCGATTTTTATCAGCTGCCACAAATCTTTGAAATAGCTGACAAATCTTTAAAATCACCAAACAATCAAAATGTATCACTCAAAAGTCTTTTGACAAATGACCAAGCACATAAGAGGGAAGACTCAACATCACAGCCACAGTCGGACATTGAAGAGAGGGATGACAGTGACGAAACCGATGGTGACAACAATTATTGTAGTGATACTATTTTTGTAAAAAAGATGAACAACGAAAGGACCACCGTAACATTAAAGGAACATGACAACTATAGTAAACTGGAGGCATTGGCAACAGAGTTTTCCAACATAGCACAATCAAATGATTGCCAGACTAAAGGCCAAGAGGCTAATGAGGAGCGTTGTGGTTTTGCTGGCAATGCCAATAATCACTCGAACTTCTTTGACAAACGACGACAACAAGTTATGGCTGACAACAATACTGATGTGGCTTCACAACATCACACCAGCAATGATGACAAACAAAATCTTGACACAACAGGAACACAAATGATGGCTGATACCAACAGCAAGCCTCGCCATGAAGAGTATCGCAAAGTTTTCAATGAAACCATTGACAGTGATGATGCTGTCGAGTGTAGCGGCAACAATCACACAACAGCAAATACAGCTGTTGAAAAGCGAAACGATGCTGCTGACAACTGTAAAGTTTACAATGTTAAACACAATGAATGTCATAAAACTTTTGCGTCTTGCTCGTCTCTGGAATCTGCGGCAGAAGCATCGTTGCATGTAACGCCAACAAATCAGACAACACAGAACATGTCACATCACATCAAGCCAGAAGAATATGTTGCGATTCCATCTTTGATGACTGCTGCCACTTTTTCTTCATCGCCATTCGAACACTCGGAGAATCATAAATTTCAAAGCCATGAAGCAATGAATCAGCCGACATTTTCATCTGTATCGTCGGTGACGCCGTCATACGATTTCATGCAACAAAGTTACCAACACCATCAGCTCTATCAGTATCACCATCCCCACCAGGACGAACCGTTTCGAAGCCACCATCAGACCCAAAAACAATATTTCCAGCATCATCCGCTTTCACATCAACAACAACAGCAGCAGCAGCAGCGGTATATGGACACAGACGCCTTCCGTCCCCCTTCACATGTTGCCAGCAGAGAGAATTATGGTGTATGTTCAACTAGTGTCGGTGCGGGAGAATCGTCAACAACAACTTCATTGACCATATGGTAAGTGAAATTAATTGCATTGTTTCACAGTCTGTTTTGTTCATCATTTTTCTATTCAAAATAGCTATTGCTTGCCTTTTTTGTCCTTCTGTCGGTCGTTTATGAATCTGTCCAAATGTTTGTTTTGCATTAGAATTGTGTTTTTAGGGGTAGGGAAATCTTTGGCACAGCTATGTAGTGCCGGAAAATATAAGAATAAGTTTTGTGTATGAGACTTCAATACATGTACGAGGTGGGGTGAAGGCGTATCCTTATACCGCTTTTATATCGCTTTTAAATACAAATGTCGTATTTACTTAATCCGCTTATATTCAACTAGATGTAAAAAAAAAGTCTTCTCATGACCGAGTTTATTTTAAATTTATCCAGATTTATTTTTACAGTTTACATATTCCATTATCAGAAAAAGACTGTAACTAAGATGTCCGCAGAGACTAGGAGGAAACGTCATCTTAAAAACCCTGTCAAATACGAAAGTGGACATTCCCATATTTTTCTGTCAAAGAAAAATTTGACTTTTTGATCCCTCGACTTTGCCTAATCACTTTAAAATCGATTTTGACTTTTCAACACAAAGTCGACTAAAATCGATTTCGGTTTATTGATATTTTCATTCATAGTTCAGCCAAAAAGATAATATGATCGATTACTTAACCCTTAGATGGTTATAATTAAAGGAATAGGAAATTAAAACAAACAAGTAAAAAACAGTTATGTTCGACCGGGCCGAACTTCGAATACCCTCCGCCATTTGTACAAGTTTCTAAAATACCAATTTCTACAATATTTTTATTTTTGACTAAGTGTGCTACCAGAGGGCTTGTACCTATTACGATCTTAAAATAATAAATTTTACGGCTATCTGAATTCAAACGTGTACAATCTGCAAATACCTGTACGATCAATTCTATTAAAAATTATATATATTTCAATATATGGGGGCAACAGGAAAACAAGGGCCTACAGACAAACTTTATATACCACAATTTGAAACAATTCCGTGAAGAAATGTGACTAAAATCGTCAAAAATGGACCTATAAAGACTATGTTCAGTAATAAGAGGAAGAAGTCGCTACAAACTCTTAATACCAAATTTGATACAATTCAGTTGTAAATGTGGTTAAAACCATCAAAATGCCACATATTGGGAGGTATCTTAATATGGGCGATACACGAAAACGTGGACCGATATATCTCAATACCATACATCCTAGGCACAATACAAACTATAGTGCCAAATGTCATGAATATATATACTTTACGGGGTATATAACAAATATTCCAAGGTGGAGGATATAAAAATCATACCAAATAAAGAATCGTTCTCTAATTTGAGATTAGTGAAGTTTATAAATGAAGTGTCGTCACACAAAGTTTCATCACATTTGTCCTATATTTACACATTCTGCCATACTAATGGCTATTATAAACATCATTTGAAAATTTAGGTTACTGTATATCTTTTTCTACATTTTCACTATCTATATCTATAAAAGAGCAAAATGTTTGTTTGTAATTTTTGTTCACGAAAACAGCTGCACAGATTTTTCTGAAAATTTCCAGGTGTACTACAACATCGCTTGAAAGTAACATAGGTTATATAAATTCTTGTAATTTCACTTGAAACTGGAGATATAGCATCAGAGTCGAAGGTACCTCCCAAAAATGTAGAAATTATATGTACATACCTATTGATCGTTTACAGATACAGTTTCCAAATTTGAAATGGGTAACGGAATTTGGAACAATAATAAATTTGCCTAATTATATTGCCAAAAAAAATAAATAAAAATGTTCGATCATTTAAAAATAATTTGCACAACAGATATTGTATTAGCAAAAATGTTTGAGTGTGTGAAATTTAAACAGTGTTTAATGCTTATTTCACTTTCTTTGAGCGTTTTGTTTCTCAAAATATGGAACCCTATGTGGGGCAGGTAGCAAAAGAAATGGTCCGATCTCTACCATCTTTATAACAGATCTTGTGTTGATGGAAATAAATTGAGATGTACCAAGTCTTGAATGAAATCGGATGTTAATTTCACTTTTTAAGAGCTTCATAGATACTCAAAAGAAGGAGTGGCCCGATATATCCCATCTTCACAACAGAGAACATGATGCTTATTTCGGATTTTATAAACGTTCTGCTTATTCAAAACTTTGACCCTTTGTGGGGGAGATACCAGAAGCAATGGTCCGATCTCTACCATTTTTATAATAGATCCTGTGTTCGTAGAAATATTCAGATATGCCAAGTCTAAATGGAATCAGATGTTAATTTCGCATATTATGAGCTTAATGGATATTCAAAATTTCGATCTTTTGTGGGGGAGGTACCAGAAGGAGTGGACCGATGTATTCCATCTTAACACCAGACCTTGGGTTAGCAAAAATATTTGGATGTGTGAAATTTGACAATTGGACTCTTACATCACATTTTATAAGAGTTGTAATTAATCAAAATTTTTACCCTTTGTGGGGGAGGTACTTGATGGAGTGGACCGATATTATCCATCACGTAGCACTAACGTAAATATTAGGATTTGCAAAGTTGGAGCAAAAATTGGATTATCGTTTCTCCTTCAGTGCAGAAAATATATATTTTTTTTTAAAATTTAAATAAAATTAAATAAATCTTCTCTGGGGGGAGGGGTGCAAAAAGGAGTGGACCGATATTGCCCATCTCCGAACTCGATCGAAAATATTACCAGCCAGCCAGAGAGACAGATAGACGGTCGGACGGACGGATCTCGCTAGATCGACTCCAAATGTCTTGAAACGGATATGGTCCAAAAAGAACAATGGTCTAAGACCGTTATTTTGATTAGACACCTTTTGACCGTATCAAATGTAGGGTATAATTGGAGGGTAGATTTGGATATAGCTACCATATCATTATATTAAGAAGTATTGACTCACAACGCCCTTGCAATGGTATTAGGCTTAGAGTAAAAAACTACCCAACAATTTAATTGATAATACGATTATTACGAGGAAGTATGTTGCCATCTCGAATTCTCAGGAATGCCACTCAACTTCAAAACAATGAAGTTTACTGCACACGCTTGGCATTTGCTATGAAATTAATAAGCCCTTTCGTGTATGCGGACTAAATTTGGCATGTTTTTGCTTTTCTCATCGTCAGCTGTTCCTGTCAAATTACATGAAGATAGAACCATAAATGTAACCTGTAAAGTAATCACAAATTATTTTTTTTTTAATTCTGTCGATAGATATAAGAGTTTTGAGAATTGTTTAGTTTTACTTTGATCGTTAACGAATCTTAGAATTAATGACAATTTGGTTTCAATAATTTTATTGATACCCTGAGAATAACATCATACTGATATTGACATACCTACAAACTTGTAGCTGCAAGAAGATAGTTTGTCAAACGGAAAAAGAGATGTGAGCTTCGATCTAATTGCTATCCTTGTTTTCGTCGGGAATGAATATCGGAAAGGAATATCATACATAAGACGAGATTTTCTCATTTCTCTGGCCTGCCAATGTTTTCATCGTCACCTTATCCATAAGTTTGGACATATCTGCATAAACGTCATATCAGCATATCACAAAAGAACAGTAGAACATCACATCAACCTCAAGCAACAATCATCTAACATTTGTAGTGGCAATACCAACGATGGAATCATGTTTTTTGGCCTCTCGTTGATGTTGTTGATTATTGTCGCTAGAGCTTATGGTTAGGTTGTTGTTGTTTATTTTGTGGTGCATTTATCACTTTTAACAAACAAACGAACAGCAAAATACCCTTACAACCGCACCGGGCCATACGAAATCCAACCATCCAAATGACAGCAATGGCATGTTAACTATTTTACACTTTATGTTGACATTCATTTACTGTTGATGTCTCTCCACAGTTCTAAACATGAAGTCATGATGATGATGATGGGGCGTGCGTATGTGTGTGTGTGAACTTTCGTTACCATTTACAAAAGCGAGTTGAAAAAAGAGAACTTAAATATACTACCATGGGTACGTCAACCATAATTCAAACTATCATTCGGTCACACATCCATCCATCCATCCACGCATCCTTTCATACAGTTTTTTGTTTGTTTGCTACTCAAAATCTGAAGTGTGGAGTGTTTAGCTAAAACGAGTGATTATTCGAATGGAGAACATCTTTGGAAGTGTCCATGCAGACATGTATGAATGTCAGAGTGATTCAGATGGCTTAGTGAGTATGCTTTATGCATCAAATGATTTTAATGGGTTTCAGGGTTTGGAGTACCAGTGAGCATGAGCCTTCGATGTTGTGACATTTCTAATTGTGATGAATATATTTGACCAGTGTTGTGTATTAACCAATTTGTTATCATTTTTGAGTGCCAACACTTTGCAAAACAACTAAATAGAAAGTGTTTTATTTGAATGGGAGTAAATTAATGACTAATTTTGTTAATTTGTGGTATTTTTCTGTAATTTGTTGCTACAAAAAGGCAGAAGGTAATTCAAGCCAGTAAAGAATTATCAGCGTATGTAGTCCCAAAAATTGTGCTTGTGGTGTAAAATTGGATTGAAGAATGGATAGTAAATCCATTGTTCGTGCATTTGAATGTGGAGAGAATCTGTCCATTCTTGTGGAAATGGATCAAGTCATGCTTCATAACATAAACAAACAAAAATAATAATAATATTCTTAAATTAAAATATTAAGTGTTGGATAATAGTAATCATTGAAGCCAGGCATAATTTTGAGAATTTTGAGGCCAAAAGCAATCATTACAGATTTCTCACAATAGAGTTGCATTTAAAATGTGCATAAAACGTGAACCGATCCACAATAGATTAAAATATTGGGATGTAAAAAATTAAACGACACGCCTGATTTCTATTTTAAGGTCTATTATGTGAAAATTTGAGTAAGGATTCTGTAGAACCATATATATCATGCGCAGAATATAAACAGCATCGTCCCAGCTTGCCTACGAAAAGTTCCAGGCTGCCTAAGGTTTAAGACATTATTCATTGTG